GCTTTTCATTAATGTATTGCCCTGATGATGGCAGTATAGTCAAAACATATAGGGTTTATAATAAAATACTGAAACCATTAATATGGTTCAAATTATATCTGGTTGTCTGTTAAAATTACAATATATATGAAATTGCACAAAACTTAGCTGTACAACACACCTGTCAAAATTGAAATGTAAGTGTAACAATAGCATTTTGTATAAGAACATAAAGATTACACATACCACGGAAGGTGAGTCACAATCTTGTACTGCTGTTGAATTTTGAGCCTTATGTCCACCAGGTGATACATCCGGTGTCTGATGGTGTACCTTGGGTAGTCTAGTAGGATATGTCTAAAGTTAAGTTCTGCATTACAAGGGGCACACATAGTGGATTGCCAAGTAGGAGGCTGTGTGTCAGGTGAGTATGGTCAATTCTCAGGTGGGTTACCACAACCTCATGACGACAGATGAGGCAACGGGAATGTCATTGGTTAAACTTCTCGTAGTTTGTTCCCTTGTGAGTGGTCCCAGTCCTGCTGCCATTTTGCTAGGATACATTGATGGAGTGTAGTGTTAAAATCTGAGCTGATGACACCAGCCTTGAGTTGAGGCATCTCTGGCTGCAGCATCCACCACCTCTTTACCATTAATACCTACACAGCCTGGTACCCATGGTAATGTTATTTTACAACCCCCTTTACAGAGTGTGTGGGAGATAGTATGCACCTCCAAGATTTGGATGTGTCTTCATTTAAAATAAACGCACGACCTGTTGATCCATTCATCACAGACCCGTCTGTAAACCCAACTGTGGAACCTGCATAGTGTATGAAGATCTCTATAAAGAGCCTTTGGAAGGTGCCTGGAGGTGTGGATGGCTTCTTCCACTCAGATCTTCTGGATTTCCGTTTCTTGGAGACAGGCTGGGCAGTCTCACTGAGGTGGATGCATGTGTATCAGAGCAGTTGATGGACAGAGCCAGACGTGGGCAATTACAATCACCATGGTTTTAGCTTCGCACGTGGGACATGTCACATGCGCAACGGGTGTGTGTGTCAGAATTTCTGACATCTGTAACATCGTATCGGGTTTGAGAGGTATTCTTTAACTTCATACATTCTGTATAGAACAGTGACTTCAGCATGACTTTCCTTTCTTCTTTCTTGTGTACACGGTACTCTTGTGACACATATTTAACTGTGAGCAGAGCCTGAATGTTTTCATTACTGTATCCATCTACCTGGGAGTAGATGATTACACCCCTAGTTTAGTTGAGGATTTTACGTATTTTAATCAGGAAACATTCTTCAGATACCCTGCGACTTGAGTATAAAAAGGGCTCAATTCCTTCACATTCTTCTCGGCGTCAATACGTCCGATTACAAGGAAACGAGGTATACTGTACTTTTTGCCCGATGATGAGTCGTTCACCTTTCTACGTTTGTTGGAGTCCATTTCAGGGGATGATAGGCGCGAAGAAGACAATGTTTGGTCTCCCCTCCGGAACTATTGGTGTCAGCCTACCAGCAGGAAGATAGAAAAGGAAAAGCACCTAGGGGTTCTCCGATCTGTGTCAGCATGAAGGACCTCTGCAACCTCAAGGCAAGATTTTAAGCCTGTATAATAGGTACAAAGTGCCATAGCTCCCCACTCTACGCCCGCATTTTTCAAGGGACTTTTGAGTGATTGCATCGCGTTCCCTTTCAGCGGTAACCCGTTGATACCAAACTATAGTACGCGACTGTAATCTTGAGACTTGCAAGGAATGCAGGAAGTCCGAAGCGTTAAAGGCTGGCGCTATCTTTCCTCCTTCACCCCACTTCCTCACCCCGCAAGTCTCAAGATTACAGTCTTACACTGTACGCTCCCTGAGTAACGAATCCGCATGGGTGGCAATGGAGCGCCAGACTCCTTGGAGTCTACGTGAGTGTACATGAATTAATATCGCATTTCTGATACCTGAATCTTGCGGCTGGGGGCAGCGAAAAGGGTGCATTTAACCTTCGCTTGATTTCTCCGTGGAGACACACATGTTGGAGTTCGCGCCGGTGACCGTTGGACAGCACCACAGAGATAGGACAGACCCCATCAGATGAGGCAGGAGTTTATAAACTTAGATGACCTTGAATCTTCATACTGACTATTAACCTAGGAGATGTCACACGCAGTCAGTGACGGCCCGTCCATAAGAGCTGCAACACCCCCTATAATTTTCCAAAAATAGAAATTTTTTGTGTTTATATAATTTGTAACACTTTATTTCCTCTGTGTGACTATTTTAATATTGCCCCTTACGTTGTCATTATCCACTAATCGGCTGAACTGATAGCAAGTCCACGGGCGAGGAGTGCGAAGCAGAAAGAGGCTATCATCTGGCTGCAAGGATTTCAGCGCGGTGGGCGGTAGAATGAGGGGCAGTTCACTGGTACAGCGCGTATCGGAGCTGCAGTCACCGCAGCCGGCTTATAGTAAGCACACTTGCCCGGTACCACGTGTGTAGACTGGTTTCTGTATCGCAAACTGTTTCGTGGTTATTGTTAATGAGTGTTCAATAATTCTGTGTGCTGACTATTTTTTGTTCTGATAATGACAATGAGCAAAGGAAGTGTATCATAGTTACAGCAAACTACTTTTTATAAATTGTCTTTGAGTGAAAAAATGGATGTAAAAAATCATGGCCGCCCTCTTCCGGACTTACAAATAGTTAAAACATCGTCGAGCACGTATGGGTTATCTCCTGATGTAAATTTACTTTTCATTTATTTATATTGTGTGTTGAAAAATTATTCTGATTTTTCCCCCTTGCGCAGCACTACCAGTGCTCAGACTCACGAGCCGCCTCTACACGTAGCACAGGGTGGGTATGGTTTAGACGTGGTAAATGTTTAGCATGCAAGGGCGGCCATTTTTGAAATATATAATTATAGAGATGGCTAGATGAAAAGTGGAAGGGGAAGAAAACAAGGCGATGTTACGAAAAACTTGAGTGCCCCCTTTGCACCCCCGACAGGGCATGGACCGATCTATGAAGACTGGATGAAATGTATAGTTTGTACAATAAAACATATTACAAACTAAAGCTTACTTTTCATGCAGTCTAATTTCTGCTCAGAATTGTACAGTTCTTTAAAAGTAATCAACGTTTATATTTACGCCAGATACGGAATCATCAAACGTAGAATCCACTGGAATTAAGTTCCCATTTGTAGCTCACCATCTGGCATCATTCATTTTTCCTGAGTCAAGATGTGTTTCACAGGAACATTAATTATTTTCTATTATTTATTCGATGTTACTAGAATCAACACTTTGAACTGTTCTAAATTCATATCTACTATCAAAACCTAAATCCTACTAATCACTCGTCACACATGTAAGTGCTGCATACGTCAGGACACTTGAAATAAAATACATATGAATATGCTTTTAATTTGATTACTTTTCATGCCTGCCCTTACAGATATCTTTACAAGCAATCTGACTGTGACTCGCATAGTCAACTTGTTCTCATGCCTATTAGTCAACAAAAGGGATATAAATAAATTAGTAACATGGTGTGAACATCACATCCCCCCTGAGTTTCGTTTTTATCACTGTCCCAATGATTAAGTGGAGTGAAGGTTGAAACATAAAACTGGATTTCCAAACACTGGTTACATTCTTGATAAACTGTATTCATTCATACAGCACCATATTGCATACATCTCATGTAACTAAACAGAGACTAAGTGAAATTTCAAGCTTACTGGTGGTGAGTACAAAGATGGCTGCCTTCTGGGTGATTAAGCCATGTAGTCTGGCAGTAAACTACTACAAAACCACATGGTACAACAACCTGGAAAACAGTCAGCTTTATATGCAAGCAGTGTTTTTTCCATTCTCTTGAAAACAGGTATGTGAATATAGTCTTATCAAAATATACTGACAGCCTATTACTGTGTAAACTACTCTTAGATAAAGGGTTCATCAATATTTTCTATAAAAGTAACAGCTGTGTCACTAAAATGATGGCCTTCAGTCTAGACTGTGTGGTGTTTGATTCCTGACAGATGCCCAAGATTTTTCTCTTCATCACAACAGCCAAACTAGATGCTACTGTAGCAATAACTGTCTAGAAGTCAGGCTATGGAAATTCAATATGCTCAATCCCTGAAACAATGCTAAAGTATTTTAGTAATAATATTATGCCATTGTGTGGGAGTGTTTCTATAAACATTTCTTTATATTTCTCTGGTTTAAGTGGTCTGGCAGCCACCTTAGCCAGATTGTAGCATTTGTCACTGATACGTGGTCTACATAGCCATATGGTGGAGCTAACAAACTTTACCTCCATTCCCCTAAAATTGTTCCACGATGTAGTGTTAATCACAGTAACAGTAACTTTGTTTATCATACTACTACCAAGGGTTGAGATCACTGCATCACATAAAAAGATAACAGATGCATAAGATTTGGAATATTTTCCCAACTAAATGTTACTAGGATAGTAGCACAAAATAAAATAAGATCTCTAGAACAGCCAAATAAAAATATGATCTCCATCAGAAGTTTATGCAATCTGTGGTCCAGCATACCATCTGCAACATGTAGCTCAGTGAACTCACATGTATTAACAACCTCCTTGAGCAACAGATATAGCGCAGATCAGTAAATTCTTAGTTACTTTATAACTTAGTATAATCTGAGCGAGTACAAGAGCATGAAACTGTAACCCATCTAAAACTGTTCTATCCAACTCTTTCTGTAGCCTGTATTTATTAAATGGTATTCTAAAATTGCTTTGCACTCCCCCCCTCCAAAAATGGTTTGTGTGGATGCTACATGAACTGCCAATCACATCCATAACTTTCTATGTAATGGACATGCACATAGCAGAGTGAAAAGTGTGTTGTCCTTCAGTATCATCTGAACTGATCTAATAAGCAAGTGCTCATCAATCTCACCATATAAACTAATATTCATTTACCTGAAGAGGTAGGTTCCTGAAAATGAAACATAAATCATACTGTGTCAAATGATTTTCATAATTGATGCTTTTATTTAGCTATCAACAATATTTTCCCACTAGTCAGATCCCCTAAACTTTGTCCATTCTTTAAAAGAAAAATTTATGACAAAGATGTTAGTAACTTTCCAAATAGTAAAAATATGAACTTAACATCACAGTTAGCACCTGGGAAATGTAAATTAACCAAATGAACATACTACGTGAACATACTAGAAGAAATACATTTGCACCTACAAACCTCATAAATACCAAAAACCTGCCATTTCAAAATACCTGTTCACACAAAGTAATGCAATATGAGATACATATCAGAAATAATAGAGAAAACATTATATCATGCTTTCACATTGCAAGAAACTTACATAAGGGGTTAAAAAATGGACAAAGCTTTGCGCACACACAAAGTTCATGACTCGCAATCAATGTTCACATGATACAAAGGTCATGACAATAGTAACAATTTCTACATTTGTGGCATTTATGAATACCCAATCATCACCCAAAATAATTCTTAGAAGCCTGGCCTTAAGGTACTAGTATTAAGCCAATAAATGACAGTTTTACGTGAAAAATTCCAATTCTATTAACAATTTATGGCTTTTAAATGCTAATATCATTGCTGAAAATTTTATTTTAATTTTTTCTCTCCTGATTAATCTTCTTTACTTGTCACTAAAATCTTTCTGCACCTGACAGAACACTGTCCAAACCCATCAAAATCAAACAAAACACAATCATGCACTCGCACACACACTGCTCTTTTATTGTAATGTCCGCTACCAATTGATTGAGGTCCATTTCAAAGTTAATATTATAACTTCTCAGAAAGTTCACTTATATTTTTTCAAAGAAAAGATGGTGCCCTATGAGTTCAGCACTGCTGCCAACTTCCTCTCTGAGTACATACTCCTTTAAAAGTATCATTTGAAATTTCACTGCAGTCTTTAATTCTTTTCAGGGTCCAAAAATTTTTGTTTTCCATATTTGTTTCATTTTCTCACTAATAATGTTATTTCCTTTTAAATGGTCCAAACCCCAAAAAGAAAACAAGAACATTAAATAAATGTGGTTGTGGAAAAAATATGAGATAAAAAAGAAGTTTTGAAGCAAGATTATCACTACACACTTGTTAAATGTTTCTTCTTGTAGTAGTGTCATTATGCAGAACTCTTTTAACTTTCATTTAAAAAAAACAAAGGCTTCTTGAATTCCGTTTACGGATTTAAACTGTCTTGTTTACTGTCGCAATTGTTTACATACCAAACAATAATCTAGTTAAAAGAAAAGAGTGCACTATGGTTTGTTTCTCCGAAAACACAACACAACAGTTCTTCATGACACACTGACTCTATCTAGCAAGTGCCACTATTCTGTTCCACTTGACAAAAAGCAAAAATCCACCACCATCATCATCACAGCTCCTAACAACACTTGTGTTGCTATCAGTCCATACTATTCTCTCCTCAGTCGATTCCATCCCCTCAACTAGTGACTGGGCAATGGCCAATGACCAGACCAGTGGGAGCTTGCCATATAAACACAAAAGTTAATTAAACTGGGTGAATTTATTTTTCCTTTTAGCAATCCCTTTGATAATATGTAATATTGTAAGTAGTCGTTTCACATACTGCAACCAGAGGCTTCAACCATCCAGTGGATCTTTCTAAACACCATGCCTCTCCACCAATCAGATCATTTCAACCAGTAAAAGTCAATCATGTTTTTTTATACAATTCACAAATATACAACATGAGGATTAAGACAAGTTAGCATTCTGGTACACTGGCAGACTGACACTAGCACAAACCACAGACACACCATTTGTCCATAAGAAAAGCAACAGATTTAAAGACATTCAAACACAGCACTCATCAGAATGAAGGCTGTACAAGGTGAGAGCTTCCAACTGCCTATTTGAAAACCTACAGCAGCTATAACACACATCATCACATGTATACAGCTCCTGTACTACTCAAGGATCCCAAACCATTCTTGTTCATGGTAAGAGAATATCCCAATCTAATGGCAACTGTTGCCTCAATTTGACTCATAAATGCTCAAAAAATCATGTAAATTGGCCTCAGGTACTGATACCAAATGACATTAAAATTAAATGGACATCACAATGTAGGTACTTACAAATGTAAGTAAAAACATAAACTTTACCAACATTCTACTGACTGTAAATATATTTTTGTACAAAGTGTGGAGCACTGCTTGTCTGCCAAGAATGTAAACTAAAACCTGCCCTTCAAAAGGTTCAAATTTGCATGAATATCCAAATTTTTAATAAGCAGACAAGCAAACATTTTCGAATGCACACATAGCAGTACTTAGAGTATGTCCTTTAACCAGAATATCACCATAGCGGACTGACAGATCTGGGGGGATATTTCTTTTTTTATTTGAAGTCAGTGGAATAAAAATTCCTTTCATTTCTTGATGGTTGTGTACAGCCACAGGTCCTACCTATCATCAAATGTTGCAAAACTATTACAGTCTGAGTAGTACAACTGTAAACTGAAACCTAAATAAAGAGACCCAAAGGTAGAAACCACCTGTGTTGCTGTGGAAGACTAATATCAAATACTTTTTATAATAAGCATTTCTATGAATGACCAAACACTATAGACTCTTTGTACAAAACTGTCATACCACAGCATACTAATTTGTATCAAAGGGAAGATGGTTCATTTCCTATTCCCAGTTGACAGAAACCTGGCATTCACAATGCACTATATCCAAAAGGAAAGAGACTGATATACCAGTATATTATTAAAATACTGAAATTTAAGCCCTCTTAAAACAAAGTCCAAACATGTTTCATTTCCACACTGAGGTCATTACATCCACTGCATACTTCTCCAAATTCACAAGTTATGATATCGTTTTTATAAATTAAAAAGACTATGTTTCAAGACACACATTTTTATCTGATGTGATTAAATCAGGAAAGACCACAATTCATAAATGTAAATCGTGTCATTAATAGAAACCTGTGGCTATCTTATGAACATAAAAAACCACAGCAGTACCGCAAAAGATGAACTGGTACAGAAAGCTTAAAACATTTATAGGGGTGGGAATGATGGTCTATGTATGAGCTTTATATCTGAAATGTTTCCAAACATTCTTTCACTAACCATACACTCTATGATTGTTTAACAAGAGATACAAAAACACTGCACTGTCAAAGAAATATGTTTCAAAAAAGGAATGCCTGCCAGTACATAAAACAGACATTAACACGTTATCTAGTGGCAACATACCTATGACAATGACATTTTCATTTTCCAATAAGGTCCACTGCCAGAGTACACAAAATGCAAAAATTGCTATCAGAAGCTTGCTCTTTTCTCAAGAAAATAAATACATGACAGCTACTGATCAAGTTATGGGGCAAGAACTACAAATCCTAGTAAGAAACTCTGTTGCCAGAGCTTTTCTCCAGCATTCAGATTTCTGTTCTGTCGATGTTAAAAACCGCAGGCAACAACTGCAGTTACCTTGCCTGCTTTGCTTCTTGCATTTCATTTCATAATGGTGCTGTCAAAGTAAACTGAAAGCAGCAGTAAAAGAGACTGTTGCCTTCACTGAAAAACAGTATGAAGAATCACAAAAGATACAGCTTTGTCAAGAATATGACCATTACAAGAGCAAGTTACTGAAAGCCAATCTGTGAACATACAACACTGTCACAATTCTTTATAAAGTATGCAGATTTAATAAAAATATGGAACTTGGAGGGATGAAACTGGGAGATGTCTGCACCTACCACAAATTTGTTGAGCCAAACAGTTGTAACATAAAATTCTGCACATAGATATGTAAAAAGTGTAGCCATTAAATTGCCTTGAAGAGGCTAGAAAACCAGAATTACAGAAACAATCTCTTAATTTTGTGGTATTTTTCATTATTAATTACTACAACGTTCAAAATGCACATATATACATATGACAACTTTTTGGGCTATATATATATATATATATATATATATAGATATATCTGTTCCAGTTCCAGCCATTTGTTTTAACTCAGTGAAAGTAAACCATCAGGATAGGTGATGTTCTAATAAAGAGAAAGGCTCTATTGCATTTAAGCATCTACAACACCCAATGGCATAGTACCTGATAAGGACGCATTCTGCCAAGCTCACATTTGCATGTCTTGTCACACAAACATTTCACAATTCAGTATTGAAAGTGAATTGATGGAAGTTAACATGCATACAATACAACAAAATTCAACTGCCATAATTTTTGCAACTTTTATGAACACTCCTGGACCCTTTGGATTCTAATGCAACACCTATTTAAAAACTGAGGATCCTCTCTACTATCAAGAAGTGGTGGGGGATAAAGAAGGCAAACACTTCACAAATTTATATTTCGCAAAATTTCAACTGTTTCTCTTTTAAGACTGAAATTAGAAAATGCAAAGCTCAATGTTTTCAGATAGAATGACTTTCCATCTGTACAGTTGTAGATGCAAAATGCAATCTTTGAGTGCAAATTTCAGTTCATCCTCCAAAGGATTATATAAAAAAACAATTATTTCTTCCCAAACATGACTGAACAATCCATTTTTAAATAAGTGAATTCCCTAAATAAACAGATGATAAACATATTAAGGTTCTTTCATGCCATACTCAAAGGCCATTAAAGTCTGGCTTGCAATACACTAGCAAGGAGCAACGTTTTGCAAAATAAACATGATGTGCCTGCACAATACCCATAACTCAAGAAGCAAAGAAAGGATGGTGCCAAGTGAGTTAAGGCATCACATATATTAGAAAGGTGTAAGAATCAATATGGAGGATGGCTTCAAGAAAAATCACACTTCCATAAATACCTTGAGGAAACAGTAACATACTTGATGTCTGACTGCAAGGTTAAAGCAAGCAAGTTTATCCTTACACAAATGTGACAGTGGAAACAATCATTAGTTAGATGTGTAAATATGCAAATGTTCTGAATACCTTTCCTCTACACACAAAGTCCATACACATTTTTCTTCTAGAACAAAAACATTAAAAACAAAAAAAATAGAAAATTCACCCTCTAGTACAGAATTCTTTAAATCAAAACAGTTATACAATGTGGTATATAATTGAAGTAAGCTAAGGGGGACAATTTCCTTGTTAATTTCTTCCCCCTCTTCCTCTACCTCTGCCACCACCATCTCGATCCTGAAACAGAAAAGACAATAAATAAATCTAATATCAGCAACACCCTGTCCACCACTCACATTGCTATATCACTGCTTAAAACAGGAGTGGCACTGATAAGGGTTAAAAACCATATACACATACCAAAATGATCTGGTATAATATTCTTTATCTTTATCCAGTATCATTTCCAATAGTGTAGATTTATGAAGTTTACTGTCTCATTTTATAGTAGCCTACACTTCACACTGATTTAGTGACAAATGAAAAATTTAATAAAAACATCTTTCGACTGTGTGACTGACTGGAAAATATAACCAAAACATCTATTGACTGTTTGAATAAAAATTTCCTTGGATGTATGTTTTATATTTTATATTTTACTAGATGATGGATAATATCCAAGGAAATTTTTATTCAAATGACTCTTCACCATCGTCAAGAAATTTTAGATTTGATATCTATTGACTGACTGGGTGACTGAAAAATAGAAATGAAACATCTTCTGACTAACTCAAAAATGGAATCAAAACATCTTTTGATTGATTCTGTGAAAGAAATCACATCTTTTCCTTAATTGAATAACAGAAGCAAAATATCGTTTGCTTGACTGGCTGAAAAACAGACTGAAAAAGCTTTCAACTGACTGGCTGAATCAAAGCATCTTTCATTCTCTGATTTTAAGTTAACACCAATGCAATGGTTACTCGTACATTTTCTGTTCACAAGCCAAATATGCAAATACTGTCAAACACTATCCAAAAATGGATTCTTATTTAGCCTACTATACTGACAGAGTGATTCTACTGTCAGATAAATCAACATCAGTTCGTTTAATAAATGTTTCTGTGATAAATAAAATACAAACAAGAACAAGTGTTTGGATCAATTTCCAGTGCTAGGCGACGAATCTGATGAAAATATCAATGGAAGTCTAACAAACCCCATGAGTCTCTAAAAAACATTCAACAAAGTGTACAGAAGGCAACAAAGATTATTAATTTGTATCTTAAGTGCGTCATGTTTGTGTTGAATCAAATACATATATTTATTTTCATAGTCTATACACAAACTTATTTAAAATGATGTTGTTAAAATATTATAACATTTATAGTATAAAGTATATTATGTTATATTTATGGCGCTTTTTTATCGTAGTACGACATTACATTATTCAGCGCTTCTATTTTTGAACGACATGTTTCGATGTTTTATGACATCATCTTCAGGTTTATCAATTTATATTATTTTAAAAACTATTATACATTTTGATGCATTGCATTTATTGATCTTTTAGTATGTTTTTTGAATTTTCCGTCTTCATAATGATCTGGTGTTTGTATTCAGATGTTCATTATCGAGTTGTATTTGTGTGACGTATCCTACGTCTGATAGCAGGAGATGATAAACTGTACAGTTACAGTTTTATGTTATGTTTTATGACATCATCTTCAGGTTTATCAATTTATATTATTTTAAAAACTATTATACAATTTGATGCATTGCATTTATTGATCTTTTAGTATGTTTTTTGAATTTTCCGTCTTCATAATGATCTGGTGTTTGTATTCAGATGTTCATTATCGAGTTGTATTTGTGTGACGTATCCTACGTCTGATAGCAGGAGATGATAAACTGTAACTGTACAGTACTGTACTGTACGTAGGATACGTCACACAAATACAACTCGATAATGAACATCTGAATACAAACACCAGATCATTATGAAGACGGAAAATTCAAAAAAACATACTAAAATATCAATAAATGCAATGCATCAAAATGTATAATAGTTTTTAAAATAATATAAATTGATAAACCTGAAGATGATGTCATAAAACATCGAAACATGTCATTCAAAAATAGAAGCGCTGAATAATGTAATGTCGTACTACGATAAAAAAGCGCCATAAATATAACATAATATACTTTATACTATAAATGTTATAATATTTTAACATCATTTTAAATAAGTTTGTGTATAGACTATGAAAATAAATATATGTAAAAGATTATTAAATTTCATTTTTCTGTACACTTCATGCATAAAATGAAGAACCTTGATAAATGAAAAGAATTCAATAATACCAGTGGTTTCAAAACAACTCAAAGATGGGGCACCCATTCTGGATAAATCTGTCTTATATCAATGAGTATATTAATAGCCACAATAGTAGAGTATGAAGAGCTGAATACCACATTTTCTGAGCGTCACTTTTAAAAGTTGGAGTACATCATCAAGTTTCATGCAGGAGTATAATTAGTCCTCTTTCTTCAGTAAACTGTAAATGCTAAACATTATTATTGGCTGGTCAGGCAATTAATTATTCTTCTGGAAATTAAGAGCTATGAGACTGCTAGTTTTAGCAGGATAGAGCAACAGCTCACACCACAATCTAAACAATTGAAATATTACAAGAATTATTTTTCTGAGTGGCTCCACAATCTCCATATCTGCTGTCTTCAGACAATAATACCTTAGGAGATTTTTAAAATCACATAAAGTAATTTGCATACATTATAAGAAGTAAATAAAATACTGAAAGTTGCCTTTCAAAAATCATTCAAACAATTCTTTACCATGTTGTACCAAACATTCAGGAGGTAAATGCAAGAATCATCAAAGGTGGTGGTCATTTCCAACACAACCTACAATTGTAATTGTGACTGTTTTATACATACAAAACCATCAGGATTTGAATATAAAATAAGCAAACAAACAACTATTAACACTATAAAAAAGACACTATGGCCATATGCGTTTCAACCTCATAGATACAAATTTGATTTGATTAAATGAATTAATTTCCCTGATGCCACTGATGATGACCTCTTGAGGTTGAAACGCGTATGGCAATAGTGTCTTTTTCATAGTGTTATTAGTTGTTTGTTTGCTTATTTTATATTCTAATACACTACACGGTATGCAAAGTTTTAATATCAGCAATTGGTACTGTGAATTTTTTAATATCCTGTATGATAAATACACAATTCTGTATTGAAGTTGTCCTTTCATCAGATACGTTAAGGTTGAAAATTTATTAAATTTTACCAATTTCTTCACCCCTGATGGATTTATTTGGCACAGAAGCAACAACTTTTAAGATTCAGAATTTGAGTTTTATCTCAAGTATACCTATCCACATACAAACCCTTTAAGACAATTCAGTAAATGTAGAAACTAACATGTAACAGCATCCCTTCTAATTCTTAAAAATGTTCATGGATTGAAATGATATGATACACACACATAGAATGACTCAAAAAGATGTATACATGCTATAATAACCTAATTATTATACATAATTGTGTGTAAACAACTTTTTGGGACACCATGTATTTATACAGTCCAACATGAGATACCACAAAACTAACGTGACTGTTGGCTGAGATACTGTCTGAAAGAACTGTACTTTGTAGAAAAGCAACTTTTTATATGGGATAAGCTGTTGAACAAGGAATACGTATGCGTAAAATACTTGAGCAATACAGTTTTAAGTAGATTTCAGGTCCTTCTGGTAGTGAGTATGAAGATTACTGTCTTCAAGGATGCTGTGCTGTGTAGTCCAGTAAACAGTGACTAATGTTTCAGAGATGCTTCTTGCCTCCAACATCAGAGCAATAACCCTAGTAATGTAGGCAATAAATGCGTCTAAAATAATGGCCAACTTCTACCAGTCAACCTAGCGCAAAATTCCAGAAGATAGTAATTTTACATTCCTTACTTTAGTAGAGTGGACTATGTATGTGTAGTTACCAATGGAAAGCTGTAGAATTCGGCTACAGCTTTCCATTCTACTAAAATAGATAACCTGCTTAAGACACAGTCCACTACATGCTGAAGTCACCAAAAGAAAATGTGTATACAAGTTCGCAGTCATATCTATTAGTTTTGAACACTTAAAGATAACCAATTAAGGTCAAAACACGTAGTGAACTCTTAATAAACATTGAAACTATACAAAACAATAGTTGTGTAGATGGACTGTCAATCCAACATTCAACACATAATGGATGCATCCCTTAAAACCCATAGAACTGTCTCTTGTTGACATAAACACATCTTCACCACTATCCTGGCTCCTATAATTAAACAATATGTAATGTCCACTCAGTTGTTTCTTCAGTTTTTGGAACAGATAAAAGACTTGGAGCTATATGGTGGGTGATTGAACACAATGAAACCAACGCAGCAAATCTCTCCAGGCATTCATGCACTCACATGCGGTCCTCACATTGTCATGCTGAAGGGAAACTTGATGCATGCCAGTGTAAACACTTCAAATATGTGCCTTTAAATTCTACAATGTTTTATATGTTTTCTGCAGTAAAACTCAATCACTGCACACCTTTTATTCTGTACTGAAATTGTTTCCTCACCAAAATCCACAGCAAATGCAGACCTCTAGTGGCAGAACTATGAAAATCAAAAAGCACAGAGGAAGTCTGAATGATTACAGTTAAGTTCATACCACCATGCAGTTTCTTTCTTAGAAAAAAAAAAAGCATCTCTTTTCAGCAACCATTCAAAAGTCTAGGTTAAGGAACACAATCAGTTTTATATGATACAAGAAAAAAATCATTAATGTTAGTCCTGTACCTCAAATGAGAATGACCAAATGAAAGAATGGCTTAAAGCTGAAAATAAACAATTTACGATTTAATAAAATCAAGAAATTTATGGGCTGCTGGGCCATGTTAACAGAAAATTAGAGTAATAACGTAGAAAAAAATCTAAATATTGTGTAGCTATTTTACCATTTTTTTTATTTTGGACACACCTTCAAATACAATTATAAATAATAAAATGCTAAGTAAAAGAAATAGGACACCTCAAAACACACAGTGGACTATAATGGAAAATGGAAACTGAAGATCATGTTGGCTTTGTGAATTGTACTCAGCAAATTTAGAATCTGAGGAACACAATAGCTAAATAAAATGGGGTGAAGTGAATCTTGTGTGATAAAACACATCAGCAATATGCATTAAGAAATGCTGAGTGCTGTCAAAAAAGGTGC